TATTATGCCTCTTCTTGAAACGCTCTTCCCAACTTTTAGAACAAGCAAACTCTTTGTTTTTCATTTTACTCCCCATTTCACTAGCATTTTCTTGCAAAACACTGCCACTTATGGGAACGTTTTCTTGTCTTTTTTGAGTAGACCACTTAATAGTCCCTTGTCAACATTTTTATGTGCAGATAATTTCAACTTCCTATATCTAACATTTGTTTTGTCATACGCTGATAAAATGTTTTCTTTGTTTTTCCATATTGTTGCAACAGTAGACTTTCCAAGTGCTAATTCCTTACAAATGTCGCTCTTTACTCCACTTTTTATTTTGTTAATAATCTCGTACTCTTCATTTAGTGAAAAAGCTTTGCGTTTTTGTTTTTCCGTTCTAAAACGGTTTACATACATAACGCAGCAAAAAACAACAAGTTACTGCCTGTCTCTCGCTCTCACTAATACAAACAACACCGCAGGATTGGTGTTGCTGAGCGTGGAAGTTCGTTATAAACGGAAAGTGAATATACAACTATCCTAAAAAGTGATCGTTATATCCGGAAGTTCGTTATAACCAGTAAAAAATACGTTGGTCTTTGTGGACGACGTTTCAATTAAAGGAAAAAAGTTCGTTTTAACCGAAAGTTCACTATAACCGGGTTCATTATAAGCGGAATTTACTGTAGTTGGATTGTTACTGCAACCCAACAAAAATTTAATGCGATTTTTTGCCTAGGGGATAAACGATAGACCGTTGCTCTGCTAAAAATTACATTTTATTGGATGCTTTAGCCACAATAATGTCGTCGCTGTCTTCCGTAAGTACGGCCAACTTCTTCACCAAAGACCTAGTCCGGTCTGTTAAGAACGTGTCCACCTGGCCCAAAATGTTGACGAGTTCCAACATTTTTTCGAAATTCTTGTTGACTCGTTCAGCCCGCTCCAATTCCTGCTCCTTGTACTGGATTTGCTTCCTCAGCGAGTCGATGATGGTGGCAGGATTTGTTTTGGCAAAACTGTTCGACTTCCGGCCAATGCTGTTCGTTGCTATATCAGCACTTGCAATAGCCATTAGCTAAAATTTAATTGTTCCCTAGTACAATGTCCAGAGTTGTTTAAACGCTTACCATTGCTGCTATGAAGGAACAGAGCACAAAGCCGCCCATTGCGTTGTGCCTTGGAACAAGTTACGCTCAAAATGAGTTCATCAAGAGCCCATCGCGATTGTTTGCCCGGAAAATCGCCTAATAAGCAATATTTGTTGCAGTTTTTATGCTTGCAGCAATATTGCCAGTGGCGGGTCTTCAAAGGACAGCAAACAGTTCATGTGTGTAGAAGGTTTTTTAATTCGTCAACTTTTATTTACATTTAATCAGAACGTCGGTGACGAAACCAGTTCAGGAACTATTAATAGATATGTGTGATTTAACGGAGCTGCTCCTGCTTCGCCTGACTGGAGATCTGGAGCGCTTGTGTTTCCTGGACTTCTTTCTGGATTTCGACCGTTTCCTGCAAAGGACTGTAAAGCACCAGCTGTTCACACCCACAGGTACCACCCACCTCTTTTTCTTCTTGTCCCTCCTTTTGCGGCTTGATTCGTTGCTGCGACTTCTGTCCTTGGCGCGACTTTTTTTGTGCTTTTTGTCCTCTTTTCTGCGCTCTCTGGATCGACGACTTGGCTTTGTTGAGCTCCGTTCTCGCGTCCTACTTCTCGACCTAGAACAGTCACATCATGAACTATGAGAAGTCATGACGAAATAGACGTCGAAGTTAGTACCGAATGGATATAATGCTGTCTGCAGAGTTCCTTCTGCTGTTCACTGGTGAAGTGGAAGAGGCCCGACGTTTGGACGTGTGCGTTCTTCTGCTAGAGGATGCGACCGATTTCAGCTTGAGAAACATTGCCGCTTTCCGCTTGCGTTCCAACTGGCGCGCTTTGGCGTCTTCAGCCTTTTCTTTAGCTGAAACAGTGGAGATGTGAATGGTTCCAGGGACAATCACCTGGGAGACACATACCAGTTCGGTCGTCGTTCTCCAAGTCGATCAATTCCAAAATCGGATCATCATCCAAGCCCCCATTTGTCTTCTTGGCCTCTTCAGTCTCGAACATATCAATTGCAGGCGACTTCTTCTTGGTCCTTGGCTTGGTGCTGGGGGTCTTCGATCGAGACTTGGCCCTTTTCAGCGGCACTGGAGAGCTGGTTCTAGACCTAATTCAGACTTGATCCAGCCAACAGTTAGAGCAGACAACAAACAGCATACCTCGATCGCTTTTTGGGGGTTCTCGAACGCTTTGGTGTAGAACTTGGGGGCTTTGGCGGGTTGGGGGGACTAGCCGTTAGATCTTCCACTGATGTTGCCTGCGTCTCTTCTTTGTCCGGTTCCACTTGCGATGGAAGAGTTTGGCCGATGTTGTAAATCGTTTTTGGGTTGGCCGGTTCCTTAGTCGTACTGCACGTGTTATTATTGAGCTTCAACCGCTCTGAAGGACTCTTAGGGCCTGTGTCAGTGCAGGAGTCTTCCTCAGATGAGTCTTCGACTGGTAGTGCGCTTTTTATTTCCTTTGAAGGCTCTTCCTTGGGCTTCTTTATCGAGAAGCTCACAGGGGCTGAAAAACAGTCCCAGTGAACAATCGGGAACCTGAACCGGCTAGGAAATCGACTCACCGATGGGTTTTTTCTGTTTCGGCTTTGGGGCGGGATTTTTCAGTTGGGGCGCTTTCGCTTTGTTGCTTAAGGATTCCAGCTTGGATCTGGAACAGTTTCGAGTTACTTTTGCCCATTCAGAACCAATGGGAAATTGTACTTGTAATAGCGATGATACTTGTGGTCATTGTTTAAGAAGACAAATCGATGGTCCTGTTTTTGCTTGATGATTGCCTCGAACTGCTCGCCGTTTTTCGAAACGTATTCGGCCATTTTATCAATCACCGTCTGCATATCGGTTGGCGGCATGCTGAAAGAGCGTCCCAATGATTATCTGGCTTTTCCACTGATTCGTGTTTGTTACCTGCAGGCTTCTGCGCTCTCTTCGTCCGATTCCGAGCCGGAAGTGTCGCTGTCTGAGCCTGATCCGTAAGCAGCGGCCAATGACAGCAAACCTTTTGTTACTAGAAGTTATTCGGCACGTTTACACTTACTGCAGCGCTCTGATTGCAATTAGCTCTATTTGTAAGTGTTTAATACCTTCATTTTCCGCGGTGTTTTTCGGTTCCTCTTTGGCGGGCTCGATGGGCGGCAAGAGCGGCACATTAGCACTATACGGGTTCACGTTGTCCTTGTTGAGGTTCGACACTAAGAGACAAACAAGTTAAATTGGCTTTCGCTGCAGCGTCGGGCAGATTACCGATTTGTGCATAGGAATTGTTATCAGCGCTGGCTGCTGGCTGCTGCGTGTCCTGCACCTGTTTGTGCTGTTCCACGAAATGGCCCCAAGCGAGGTGGTGTATGTAGCTCTGCATGTTCGGGTCCAGCCGGCTGAAGTCAGCAGGCAGCCCTGCATATGCAGCTGGAAGGAAATCGCCAAAGTGAAAACCCAATAAGCGTCAACAGCAACAAACTTACCTTTTTTACAAACTTCTTTTTGGGTATTTCGCCTCAAAAATTGTTGTCTTTAAAAAAGGCAGAATTTCCTCACGTCTTTTGTTACAGATTGATAAATAGTGCTTCTATTTCGCAATAAGAACGAATTATTTATCAAAAAGTAATCAAGAACTATCACCTAGAGGGTATCCTGCGAC